CAAAATTAAGGGGTGATTTAAATAGTGTTAAATTAATATTTTCTGATATTTATGAATAAATGTGAAATATAAATTAGATTTAAAACGATGTAATAGAGAGGTGATGTGATTGAAATAAAATGATTACAATCCAAATAAGATAACGTGTTAAAATAGCATGTGTTACTTTAACACATACCAAACAAAGCCTAATACCCATAAAATATTTATTATGTGATTTAAATTTATTTGAATTAAGTATTATGTAGGTCATTCTTAAATTGAATTTAAATCATAGTACACTAAACCAAATCAAACCAAACTAAACCTTAAGTCCCGACAAATAGGGTTGGCTGCATGAATCATTCTTCTTCACTCGACTATATCCAAGGTCATTTCGTTAGTTAAATTAAAGAGATTCATATCTCTATTTACTATTTAATGCAAGTCAATCTAGGTCTACCATTCTCCTAACACTATCATCTATCGTCATTATATCGTATCTATTCATTATTTTCTCTGTTGGTCTTCGTTGTATATGATCAAACCATCTCAATCTATTCTCTCTCAACTTATTTTCTATCGATACTACTCCGACTCATTCTCGAATATACTCATTCTTAACTCTGTCTTTCTTGTTTTGCCACGCACCCACTTTAGTATCCTCATCTTTACAACACTCATCTTCACTACATATTGTTTTTTAGTTGCCTAACAGTCTGTCCCATATAATATTGCTGGTCTAATAGTCGTTTTATAAAACTTTCCTTTTAGTCTACTGGGTACTTGTTTATCGTATAGTACTCTAGACGCACTCTTTCACTCAAGCCACTCCACCTTAATTCTGTGGACAACATCTGCACCAATCTCTCAAATTGTTGTAATAATTAATCCTAAATAACGAAAATGTTCACTCTTAGGTAGTTCTTAATCCTCAATCTTCACTTCTCTTTTGCTCCCATTGTGACTATTACTAAAATTACACTCTATATACTCTGTCTTAGTTCTGCTTATCCTAACTCTTTTAAATTCAATCGTTTTTCTGCAAATCTCTAACCCTTTTTTTTCTTTTTTTTTTATCAGCAAAATGAAACTTTATTAATAAAGAAAACAAAAAAAGCTAAAACTTACATCAATAAAGAAAGAAAGTGCAAAAAGTATCATCGCTAACCTTAATAATCCCAACTAGGTTGGCACCACTAAAGAAACACAATCATATGCGAGCACTAACCCAAAGATTAGTGAGAAGCCAATCAAGAGGAACAAAAAAAAAATCTACACAAATTAGAGGGGAACAAAAAAAAAAAAAAAAAAAACAGAAAAAACAACAAAAACAGCCTACAGCAGTAGCATATTGCTGCAATTTAGCAGCCTACAACAGCAGACTTCACCCCAGCATCCAACATTGCACCAGATCCTTGATTATACTAGCCACACAGCAGGAACATGCTACCCCAGCAAACTCTTCCAGAACTTATAATCAATACACCAACATGCACTAAATAATTAACACCCAAGAGAACCTCAAACACAACAGCCAATACACCAGCATCTGTCCAAATTTGAGTTTGTGCTTGAATTTGCTCAGCAACAGAGGTTCTGCTTGACTTTACTCTGCCACAGATCAACATGCATTTGCTCTGAAACAAGTCCTTTGGGCCTTCTTGAAGAAGCAAAGTTTCTGCTTTGCAGCAGATCAGCAATTCAGCCTAATTTCCAAATCATTGAACCCCCATTTTTTATACAAACTTCACCAAGATTAACCCAAATTCTCATGCCAAAATTTTCAAAAAGCCCAGATACAGAGCAAGACCATAAACACCTGCTTTTACACACCAGGAGATTTGGATGTCATTGTAAATTGCAACGAACCCTGCCACCTAGACAAGCTTTTACTTGATTAAAATTGAAAATTAAGTCAGCCACAGAGTAATGGATGTCTTTTACTAAGGCCTTGAGTCGTAATGCAAGCCTAAGCTTTATAAGCTCACTCAAATCAAAGCAATTAGGTTGCGCTTCATTGTAAATGCAATCATTCCTCTGCTTCCAAAGTGACCAAAGAACAATAAGAGGTAAAGCATCCTAGATCCTCCTTTCAAGTCTTTTAAACTTGCCACCCTTCCACCAATGGAAAAGATTATCAATCGAACTAGGTATCACCCATTGAAGCCCCTACCATTGCATCATTTATGCCCAAATGTTCTAGGAAAATGGGCAGAAAAGAAGTAGATGAGTAGCTGGCTCAGGTTCTGTTCTGCAGAAAGTGCATAAAATGGTAGCATTGATACCAAAAATCCCAAATTTCTGAAGGAAAACAGCTGATTTGATTATGTCTCTCCATGCTAACCAGCTGAAGAATTGAATTTTGGAAGGGATATCTTTATTCCATATGAATTTGCAGATTGAGAACTTGGGACCAAGAGAAGTAAAGCAAAAGTTATACACATCAGCAGCTTTAAAAATACCTGAGTTTGAACCCAGCCAAACAGGGCTGTCATTCACCCCATTCCTGAGTAAGGGAGCAGCTGATAATACATTTGACAACCTAGCAATCTCCTCATTTTCCCATTCATATGAAGCTCTTCTAAATGATAAATTCCAATCCCCTGAAGTTGATCTTCTTGCATAGTACAAAGGTAGCGTGTCTCCTTATTTGTTGATAATCTAAAAAGACTAGGAAATTCATCTTTTAGGTAGAAGTTTCCACACCATTTATCCATCCAAAATCTGACTCTTCTTCCATCACCAACTTTAATGAGAAAGTTGTCCAAAAAGAAATTACAGAGGGGTTGCTTGTTAATGGTAAGGGAGATGACATCACTCCATACTCTAGAGTAATTGCAGGAAGTCCTCAAAGATGGTTGCCACCTGAATTCATCAATCACGTATTTGCTACGAAGTATCTTTCTCCAAAGAGCAGTGAAATCACTTCCAAACTTCCACCACCATTTTAATAAAAGGCTAGCATTAACATCAGTGATTCTTCTTATTCTTAATCCTCTAAGACTTGTGCTTTTAGTGACATCTATCCACTTCACCATATGAATTTTCTTCTTTAGGTCAAAACCTCCCCATAGGAAATTTACTTCAATTTTCTCTAGCTCTTTGGCCACTCCCACAGGCATTTTGAAAAGGGATAGATAATAGATTGGTAGATGAGACAGCACTGATTTGATTGAGGTAAGCCTACCTGCGACGGATAGTAGTCTTCTCTTCCACCCTACTAGTCTTGACTTGAATTTGTCTAAAATAGGTTTCCAGGTGGACTTTCTTCCAGGATTTGCACCAAGAGGTAAACCCAAGAATTTTAATGGTTGCACCTTACAATTAAGGAGATCAACAAAGGAAAAAAGTAACCCTTCATCAACACCAACTCCATATAATACACTTTTGTGATAATTTATTTTCAGTCCAGATAGCAACTCAAAGCATCTTAACACTCTTTTAATGTTCACTACTTGCTCCCTATCTGCTTCACAGAAGATAATTGAGTCATCAGCAAATTGAAGGTGGGAAATGACTACTTCATTCCTCTCAATTTTCACACCCTTAAGAAGATTCAACTCATAAGCTTTAGTCATTAGTATGTTGAGCCCTTCTACTACTAAGTTGAATAGAAATGGTGAAAGGGGGTCACCCTGCCTCAAACCTCTTTGTGGAGAAAATTCTGCAGTTGGAGATCCATTGACTAGAATAGAAAGCCTTGCTGAGGAAATACATTCTTTCATCCAAGAAAGCCATTTTGTACCAAACCCAAAGTTAGAGAGTAAGGAAAAAAGGAAGTTCCAATTGATCGAATCAAATGCTTTTTCGAAATCAAGTTTGATAATGATACCTTTCTTCTTGGATTTTTTCCAGCCATCCACAACTTCATTGGTAATTAGTACACCATCCAAAATATTCCTATCTCCAAGAAAAGCAGACTGAGTGGCACCAATAACTTCGGGAATAACTTTTTTCAACCTGTGTACTCGGACTTTTGAAAGGATCTTATAAATGGAGCCCACCAAACTGATAGGTCTGTAGTCCCCCAATCCCACAGGATTTTCAATTTTGGAGATAAGAGTGATGAAGGAGCTATTAATCCCATATGTAAGTTTGCAAAGAATATGAAAATCTTTCATAGTGTTAAATCCTTCTCTAGCATCATTTACTAACACGATATCATCTACAAAAAGTAAACACCATGGCGTATTATCCTGAATATTGCACGCCAAATCATCCATAACTAAACTAAAAATATAAGGACTTAAGATTGATCATTGGTGTAACCCTACATAAATTGAAAATCACTCGTCTCTAGCAGAAGATCTAATAGTGGTCACAACACTTTCATACATATCCCTTATCACATCAATGTAATCTTTTATTATCTCTTTCTTCTCCAATGCCCACCAGATCATAGTATACTTTTTATTATAAAAAAAAGGGATAAATTATTAATCATTCTTATGTTTGAAGAAAATATAATAAGTCATATACGTTCTGCATAATTACATATGATTCTTTTATAATTTTAATTTATATAACATTTAATTCAGTTTTTATCAGAAATTCGTTAGTCATATGAATAAAAAAATAATGTTGTTATCTTTTTTATATTAAAATTAATATTTTACCTTATATCTTTGCGCCTTCATATCATCTTTATCGGTCTTAGTTTTTTTGACCTTATCAAAATAGAAGTTAGGAGTCTTTTGGGAAGTGGATTATAATCCACTTCCCATATTATAACACACTTCACTCTCTCACAAAAAGCTGTTAACCAAAAAGCTAATTATAACTATCTTTCCAAAATAGTGTAATTATGTAAAATTGGTAGAATTTATTGTATTTTCTTTTAAATCTTAAAAAATTATATTTTAATTTGGTACAAGTAAGCTATTAATGTAAATATCATCACTCTAATTCCTTTTGTGCCCCACTCCAAAGAGTGAGCGTATTTTGCCCTTGTTTAATATGTCCCCCATGACACCCTATATATAGCCCTCCCACAGTGCCTCATCTTTCACCAACCAACCCACACATATCCAAGAGAAGTGCCATTCCTTCCTTTCTTTCTCTTCAACACATACCCCAAACCACACCAGAGCATACCAAGAAAAACAAACTAACAAACTTAGTAAGTCCAAACTAAAATTTCCTACCAAGAAAAGACCCAATATTAATTTTTATTTTTTTTTTAAAAAAAGAAAAGAAAATGTCGGGTGTATGGGTGTTCGAAGAGAATGGAGTGTATCGGCGAGTGGAGAATCGATCAGCGGCTGAGCAGCAGGACGGAAGGCAAGGCAACGCGTCCGGGAGGAGAACAGCGTTGGTGTACTTGGCAAGTGGGGAAGTGGTTTCATCATACACATCGCTGGAGCGAATCCTAACCTCCTTGGGTTGGGAAAGGTACTATGGAGGTGGCCCAGACCTCTTCCAATTCCACAAGCAATCTGGCAATGATCTAATCTCACTTCCTAGGGACTTTTCCAGGTTCAGTTCAGTTCACATGTATGACATTGTCATCAAAAATCCCAACGTCTTCCACGTCCGAGAGATATGAATCCAAACCTCGCACTTGGTAATTCGTTATATGTCTGTGTTGTTTGTTTGGTTGTTTGTTTCCGACTCCTGTGTTTCGATCCCTCCCTCCCCAGTGTTTATGCCTTCTTCTCTAGTCTGCTTTCTTGTCTTGTAATATATATTCAACAAATAACTGTATGAGCTGCTGGTGTGAGTATCTATCAGGCAGTGTGTGTGTATCAGTGTCTGTGTTTGTGTAAGCTACATATTGTCATCCTTTGTAAGCTCCTAAACATGGCTTTGTTGCTTGGAATATATATATAATGCCATGAAGTTTCCTGTTACTATTGCTATCATGAAAGTATCTACAAATTTTTTATTCAAATGTTGTGGCATGTTTATAATACTCAAAAATAAGAATTACGATATATAAGAAATTACATCTTTGCCGACGAAAATTCTAGACTTTATAAATTTAGTGATATATAAGTGAGATGGTTAATTGATAATTAAAAAGTATATGAAAAAGAAAAAAAAAATAACACATGAAAGTGATTGGTTGATTGATCATTAAGCTTGAAAAGTAAATTTAATTTTTGAGTTTAGCACTACTCTAAAAATAATGAGCCAACAATGCCACTTATATTTTGATTGGCGAAAATCAGTTGTTAGGTAATAGATTAGTTCGTATGGGAGTTAGTCTCCCCATCCTTTACAAACTATCAAGTGTTTACCCTCTCAATTCAACTCTGGTAAGGGGATCCACCAAAAAAAAAACTCTTGCAAGGGGGGTTGAACTTATAAGTCTTTAAGAAAGTTATGGTGGTCAACCAAGTTAACTCCCATATATTAAATTTTTGTATAAATTTTCTATTTCTAAATTATTTTATGAATATGATTCTACATATACATGTTACGTAGTTGCTAATCAGTATATATGCCATGTCACATAACCACGATCCTTGTGCTGTTTTCGGCAGACTTTTACCCAATATATATCACCCACGTAATTATATATGAATAAAATTTGTAAGCACAAGTCAAGTTTGAGCTGTTTGAGATTCTTCATATATATACAAATAGAAGTAGTAGTAAATGAAAAACAACAAAAGTATGTCTGGAAAAGTGATTGGGTACTTTCTTGTTTTCACTTGAACGAAAGCATCTGAACTAGTTGGTGTTATGTTCTTCTCATCATCACTGAATAGGAATGAATTTAATGAGAGGTTCATATATTCTTAAGGTTGTGAAATTGAACCCACCTCACCTCACCTCCTGCCCACACTTTTTGGTTTTGTGATGAATTGATGGGTAAAAGTTGACCACTGGATTAGTTTATATAAATAAGACAACAAGCCAAATAATTCTCATGGGACAGGCAAGAGAGAATCATAATCCAATCACCACAAGGCTACTTTTTGATATCAACAATTTAGGGCCATCTGTGTTTTAAAATAATTATATTTTTTTTAGACGATTACTTTAATAAGAATGTGTAATTATTTTAAATTTGTTATATATAAAGATTAATTACACTATTAATCCCTAAATATATGCTCTATATTAATATGTACCACAATATTTTAACCATATCAATTTCATTCTCAATATATTAAATGTATCTAATGTGCTCCTTTGTCTCATGATGTTGGTATTAGCCATCAAGATGAGAGGTAAATTTAGAAACTTAAATTACACCTTAAAAATAAAATTATTGAGAAAACCCTCTGAATGACAATGTGCAACTTTCCCCCCCTAATTTACCTCCTATTTTGATGGTTAATATATACACTCAGACACAAGAGCCACTTTTGAACATATTTAATATTTTCAGATCAAATTAACCAGTGATACCTCATATTCCTAAAATGAGGTCAACTTTATGTGACAACATCATGAATGCATTTTCATCTCGTGGTGTATTCATCTATAATAAGTAGCTGTCTCGGTCCTGAGATTTTCGGGACTTAAAGCCAAAAATCAATTACTAAATTTCTGGGCCCTTCACATTTTTTTTATTGAATGAAAAAAGAATTAAGGTAAAGGACAAAAGATTTGTATTAAAATCACAAAAATACTTAACATTACATTATAATAATTAATAAATATCACTTGATCCTCACTCTTCTTTTATTTTTAGAAGCAAATAAATCAATCATACTTGCATAATCTAGTTTTTTTTTGCAAAATCATTTTCAATGGATAAAAATGCTAATCCATTCAATCTTTCTTGTGACATAGTTGATCGAAGGTAATTTTTGATGATTTTCAACTTTGAAAAGCTTTTTTCCCCCTATGCAACTATAACCGGAATAGTCAAAAGTATCCTATAAACAGCCCATGAATTTGGGAAACAATTTGCCATCAACTGCAGATGATTGAACACTTCAATTGGTTTATTGACATCTTTTGGCAATCTCTCTTTCAAGACTTTTAGCTTCATCAATAAATCTCTTCCATCAATATCGGAAATCTCAATATGTTTTAAAAATTCTTCAAGGTTTACACACCCGTTTTCAACAATTCATCGCTGCACTTTTTCAAGTCAAACAAAAAGCCAAAGTTTGCCTCATATTCGAACCTATTTTTGAGTGAACAAAGGGCTTGATCAACAAAATAAAGGAAGTAACCAACTCTAAATGACTCTTCAACCGACTGGGTCACCTCTTCGCTAACATTCTCATCAAATTGTTTCTTTCCAGAAATAATGCATTTTCAACAAATGTAGGTTCAATTCCCAATTCACTTGCCATTTCTTTAGCTTCAACCATAGCCTCCATGAAACCAAGTTCTCTATACATTGCAACATACTTAACAAGCCCATCTAGCTGTTTTACAGCAATTGCTATATCCATATCTTCACTTTGAAAAAGCTTGCTAACAGAGTTCACATGAAACAACAAATTGTACCAAATTATAATACTAAACAAGAACTCAAAAGTCTCAAGTTCATGAGTTACCAGGGATTTAGCTTCACTTTTTGTAATCGAATCTGTGGTAGGATTGTTGTACAAGTCAACTAAAGCATCTCTTATTTTTGAAGCATGGTATCTTAGTGGTTTAACACTTTCAATGCGACTTTCCCAATGTGTTTGCGACAATGACTTAACCGTGAGGCCTTGCTTTAGATTATTTTTTAAAATTGCCCAATGTTGAATGGAAGATGAAAACAATACATATATCCATTGTACCACACCAAAAAACGTTTTTGCTTTAGAGCAAGAGTTGGCCATATCACAAAGCACAAGGTTAAGACTATGACAATCACACGACGTATAGAATGCTCTAGGATTTACTTGAAGTACTCTTGTTTGAACACCTTTGTTTTTGCCTTTCATGTTAGAGCCATTGTCATATCCTTGCCCTCTTAAGTCACCAATATCAAGTTGAAGGTTAACTAATGCTTCTTGAAATTTATCAAAAAGTCTCATCCCCAATGTATGATGCACATTCAAGAATTTCAAAAAAAACTCTTTCACTTTAATTGGACTTGCTGAAACATCCACGCATCATACAACAAGAGACATTTGTTCTTGATGGCTTTCATCCGGTGTACAATCAAGTATGACCGAAAAGTATTTTGCTAGTTTGATTATCAACAAAATTGCACTTTTGACTTCCTCGGCCAACATTTGTATAATCTCATTTTGAATTTTGTGACTTAAATAATGGTAATGAACTCACCATTTTCTATCTGCCTCAAGTGTTGTTCCATCGTTGGATCAAACTCGCCAATCATTTTAATTATGCTTAAAAAAAGTCAATTGTTCTCTTCATAAATCTTCTCATGGCTTCCACGAAAAGGCAAATTATTCTTGGCAAGTGTTTTCACAACTGCAATTATCATCAATAAAACCCATCTCAAGTGCTCTCTTTCTTTGTAAATTTGTTCTTGTATACTTTTATCTATTGTTTGATGCTTTCCCAATCTTTCCTCCAACTCAATCCATTTGCTTATGCAAGTAATGTGCTCGTTATCACTTTCATGGCCTTTAAGTCTCTCACCAATATTTCTCCAATCTTTAAATCTTTTGGTAGCCAATTGAGTCTTATTTCCCTCTTGCTTAAACAACTTACAACAAAAGCAAAATACTCTATCCAAAAGTTCCGAGTATATCAGCCATGTCCTATCAAATTTTTCTCCATTTGGTAAATGCCGAATGTAATGAACAGGTGAGAAATGCCTATGCCTAGAAGAATCATCCTTAGGAAAGTTGAACTCACAATTTCTTCTTACAGGACCTCTTTCGACTAAAAAATCTCATAAATTGTGGTCAATTATTTTCCAAGTCCCTGGATCATCTATATTTGAATGCTCACATTCCGTATTCATCTCATCATCTTGATTGGCTTCTGCACTCCCAAATTCCCCATTTCCTTTTTCATCCACCAAATTTTCATTCTCATTATCCACCAAATTTTCATTTTCATTATTCACCGAAGTTTCAAATTCTTCACTATTCAAGTCTTCAACTGATTGTTCTGTTTGTTTGTCACTCGTAAAGAATTTATCAATAGCTCCTCTTTGACACTCGACTAATTTTTTGACTCTTTTCTTCTTTTTCTTTTTTGCGAATCCAGACGGATAATATCTTTTAAGAGTCACGATGAGCTAAGATCAAAATATTTTTTTAGATCAAAATTCAAAACAAGAGCACCACCACTTAACAAAACACAAAACTTTTAAATCATATGATGTGAACTATTAAACTTAAACAAATTCTTCTTGATAATGTAAATACCAATCTTATAATAGCAATTAATTGTGCAAAAGACAAGACAAATATTTAATTAATTGAATAGAAAAAAAAATTACCTGTGCTTGTTGTGCTGAGATCAAAATATTTTTTTAAATCAAAATTCAAAACAAGAGCACCACCACTTAACAAAACATAAATCAGAAAACTTTTAAATTATGTGATGTGAACTATTAAACTTAAACAAATTCTTCTTGATGATGCAAATACCAATATTATAATAGCAATTAATTGTGCAAAAGACAAGATAAATTTTTAATTAATTGAATAGAAAAAAAAAAAATTTACCTGTGCTTGCTGCTTCGTCCGTCCGTGTGCTGCTGTTGCTTCGTTGCTTTGCTTTGTGTTTGTTAGCTTAGGCTGCTGGTGCTATCAGGATTAAGAGAAGATAGGGTTAGTGTTAGGAATTAGAAAAAAAGGGCCTTTCAAAGTGTTGAGCTGGGCCTTAACTATTGGCCTTTTAATGGGTCAAAAAAATTAAGTTAGTTTGGGCCTTTTTAAAATTTTTTTTGGACTTAAAACATACCTAACATATTATACTAAATATTAATAGGAGGGGCCCCTTTTTTGGGCCTAT